GGAGATGCCCACAGTCTGGGCCCCAAACCGGGGTCTGCTGGTAGCTGGCCACCAGCCAGATGTCACAGGGATCCCTAGAGAGAGCTGAGGGCCTCAGGGGAGGTTCTGAGAGGACCTATGATGGGCATGCTTCCTGCTACTGGGAGGGACCATGGTGGACGCACCTCCCAGGCCTTCCATGGGTTGTCTCCATCCCAGAGGGCCCATGGAAAAGGCCTCTCATCCCTGAAGCTCCCACTTCCTGTCATCTGATGGGTCCAATATACCCCACTGACCACTGGTCTCTTGGAGCAAGCAACGGTCTCCAGCCATGTCTTTCCCAGAGACGCTTACTCAGAGTTGTGCTTGTCACAGATGGAAGAACAGGTTTGTGCCAGAGACCCAGGCCCTTTCCCTTCTCATCTGGCCTCCTCAAGAGAGTCCAAGACCAGGACAACTCCTCAGTTTAAAAGAAGATATATCCATTTGTATATAAAATACATATTATTAGCCAGGGGTGTGTAAGTGCAGGATTAGGAGAAAAGACTCCCAGAGATTCTATCTGGACAGAAGGTGGCCTTGGTCCCAGCACCTCCTTGAGGAGGCTGGCTCCCTGGGAAGGTGCTTCTCCTAATGGCCTAGCTGACGCCCCTCCATTTGAAATACCCAACACTGAGCAGGCCGGACCTGTGCTGGAGGGAGACCTCCGGTGAGGGGCCTATGGGAGTCTGCCAGGCGACTGTGGCATCAGCCGTCTTCTGGGCTGCAGGGAGCAGTGGGCGTCCTGCACGTCAGAAGAGGCAGGAGCCCCGCAGGCCTCGGGCCTGGCGAAGGTCGGCCGACAGGGAGCGGCTCATCTGCTTGGTGGTGGAGCGGACGCTCTTGGCCGCTTGGACAGCCCGGCTTAGCGCCTTGTTGAGCTCCTCCAGGCCGGCCAGGTCTAGCTGGATGGAGTGCCGGTGCGCCGCAGCTGGCTGGGAGGAGGCTTTGGGGGGCCACTCAGTAGCTGCTTGGGCTGAGGTAGGTCCTGGGGACACATAGTACCTGAGGGGAGAAGTAGGTGCACTCATTAATCTCGGACAGGGCTGGGGGGTGGGGGGTAGGGAGCAGACGAGGACTGAGTTTTGAGTTAGCCCACTTCTAAACCCCAGCTGGGCCACTGGCTCCCACTATGTCTCAGTCTCTTCATCTCTAAAATGAGAACATGAGACAGTGGTGGTTCGATGGTAGAATTCTTGCCTCCCATGTGGGAGACCCAGGTTCGATTCCCGGCCAATGCACTTCATGAGCAGCCACCGCCTCTCTGTTAGTGGAGGCTTGTGTATTGCTTTGATGCTGAGCAGGTTTCAGTGGAGCTTCCAGACTAAGACAGAGTAGGAAGTAAGGCCTGGCAATCTACTTCTGAAAATCAGCCAACAACAGAAATGGGAATAATAAGTACCTACCCCAGGGACTTGATGGAAGGATGAAGGAAGATAGCAAATGAGAGAGTGACTGACCCAGAGCAGGTGCTGGAGAACAGTTAGTAACATCTACCTGTTAATTTAACAAATACTTCTTGACCACCTACTATGCACCTGCCAGTGTGCTCAGCCCTGGGGTGACATTGGTGAATGAACAAACATGGACTCTGCCTTCTTGGAGCTTCTAAGCTGAAACCTGGGATCTCAGAGAGCCCAGGATCACCCCAGGCTCTGCAGCGACAACCCCCATTGTTGGAAAGATATCTGAGAGTCCCATTTGTCAAGCACGGAGCTCTGGGGAAATGTATAATGAGGATTCTGTGGACATGGGAGGGTCTGTGGGGGAAGGGTGATCTTCCCAGCCCGGTCCTGCAGAGATGTGAGTGCTACTTTAAAGTACTGGGAGAGACGGGCTGAAGAGGCCAGAAGATAAGCACGGATTTCCCAAAGAAGTATCTACCGCATACATCCAGGGCAGCAAGTTTAGGGTTCAAAGAAACCCCAGAGGGCAAGAAGAGGGTGTGGTCTCTGTGCAGTGGAACAAAGGGAGGGGGAGATAAAGAAGCATCAGCCTAAATGCAGCAGGAAGGAGCTTGGGAAGACTTGGCCCATGTCATGCACTGGCCACTAGCCTGGCACACTGTAGGGGATTCGCAAACTCTGGTTTTATTCCTGCCCCTCCACTTTCTGACTTGCACTATGTACGGTGTGTATAAAGGCTTTTTTCTAGGACCTGAATGGACAGTTCTCCAACGAAGATATGCAAATGGCCCATAAACACATTAAAAGATGCTCAACATCATCAGTCCTTAAAACTAGTTGCTCTCCAGTCAACTCCAACTCCTGGGGACCCCATGTGTGTCAGAGTAGAACTGTGCTCCATAGGGTTTTCAATGGCTGATTTTTCAGAAGTGGATCACTAGGCCTTTCTTCTGAGGTGCCTCTGGCTGGACTCGAATCTCCAACCTTTTGGTTAGCTGCTGAGCGTGTTAACTGTTTGCATCACCCAGGGACTCCTCATTAGTCATTTCTAACACCCATTGCTGTCAAGTCTATTTCGACTCATAGCAACCCTATAGGACAGAGTAGTACTGCCCCATAGGGTTTCCAAGGCTGTAATCTTAATGCAAGCTGACTGCCACGACTTTCTCCCTCGGAGTGGCTGGGGGTTTGAACCACCAACCATCCGGTTAGCGGCCTAGCACTTAACTGCTGAACCACCAGGCCTCCTTTCATTAGTCATTAGGGAAATGTAAATCTAGACCACAATGAGATGCCACTTCACACGCTTCATACTCACTACCTGGCCAAAATAAAAAAGACAGATAATAAAAGAATAGGGCAAGGATATGGAGAAATCAGAACCCTCATACACTGCGGGTGGGAATGTGAAATGGTGCAGCCAGCTTGGAAAACTGTCTGGCAGTTCCTCAAAAGATTAGGCACAGTGCCTAGTCCAGGGCTGGCATCCTTGTCCTGTGAGACACATGAGTCAGTGCTGTCTTATTTATTCAGTCAGTATCATTATCCTTATTCTACAGATGAGGAAAGTGAAGCTTGGAGAAGCTAAGTGATGGGGGAGGCAGTACAACACCCTGGCCTTAACAGCTCAGGCCCTAGAGGCCTTCGCCCACGTCCTGACCATCCCCTTGGCTCCTGTGTGACCCTGGACAAGCTCCTTCATCTTTCTAGGGCTCCGTTTCCCCTGTGTAAAATGGCAATACTTAGCTACCTCCTCTTGTTGTTGTGGCACAGTGGTTAAGATCTTGGCTGCAAACCAAGAGTCGACAGTTCGAATCCATCAGCTGCTCCTTGGAAACCCTATGGGGCAGTTCTACTCTGTCCTATCGGGTAGCTATGAGTCGGAATCGACTCAGTTGCAACAGGTTTTTTGTTGTTGTTGTTGTTGGGTGCCACGGAGTCAATTCCGACTCATAGTGACCCCCTGTGACAGAGTAGAACTGCCCCATAGCGTTTTCTTGGCTGTAATCTTTACAGAAGCAGATTGCCAGGTCTTTCCACTGTGGAGCCACTGGGTGGGTTCAAACCACTAACCTTTCACTTAGCAGCCAAGTTCATAAATGTTGTACCACCAGGGCTCCTTCTAGAGTGGATCAAATGAGAAAATTCAGGTGAAAAGCTCTGTACACTGCCTGGACACGTTGAGTGCTCTGTGTCAGTAACTAAGGCCCAGGGTCAGAGAGCTGCGAAGGGGCAGTGCCCAGATTCATACCCAGACCTGACTCACGCCAGCATCTCTTAACCAAAACAAAAACTTGTTGCTGTCAAGTCGTCTCTCGTATTGACCCAATAGGACAGAGTAGAACTACCCCATAGGGTGTCCAAGGAGTGGCTGGGGGATTCAAACTGCCAACCTTTGGGTTAGCAGCTAAGCTCTTAACCACTGCACCACCAGCATCTCTTAACAGCAGTGATAATTAGCATGAAGCTGATAAACATCACCAGAATCCAATGACCAGGCTTCTTGAATCCAATTAACAACAACCCACATTCCCTTCTAGGGGACTATTTGGCATAACTTCGAGGTTCCCACATGCCCCACATTCTTTTAATTAGGTAACCTGGCCTAAAAGTTACCCAAAACTCCCCCCAGGGCAGTAGCTGCAAGAAAACCATTCCAGGCTAGAAAGGGGCTATAGGGTGGCTGACCAGCAGGTGGCAGCACGGGCCCATTCACCTTTCCAAACAGCATGCTGTCCTCAGCTACTGAGTATGCTCAGTTCTGCTGCCAGGCAGCTAGAGAAAG